CTTTCTGCAGAAAAAAAAAACGCGCTCGAAGAAAATGCTAGGAAACCGAAGAAAACGCGCTCACATTATCTATATAAGTTCATGTTGCTTTTACGTTATCATCAAGCACTGCTACTACTACTACCATTAACCATGGCTGAGCGTACAGCCGATAAACAAAAGAGAAAAATGCAGTTCTATGAGAAGCAAACGCGGCTGTTAACGATTGCTTACCTTGTATTCCAAGCCATAGCTTTGGTTTCAATCATCAAACAAGCTTATTCATCCGGTCAATGCCAGAACTTGGTTTGGTTGCCCTTCATTTTGTCCATGTTATCGTCTTTGATCTACTTTCTGGCTTTGATGGATATTCTGTCGAGTTTCTTCTGGGCTCGGTATCAGCTGGAGTTGAGTTTCACAGAGCAGGGAACTGTGAATAAGAAAGTACGTGAAGTCTGATGACGAGGTTTCAGGTTTATACTATTAAAGCCATAAATTTGCATGTATAAGCATATGATAATAAGTAGGATCTAAAATCAGATAATCGTTCAAGTTTTAGTCGGATACTGTCAGGTCAAGTCAAATCAGATACTGATTGTGTCAGGTCAATTTCATGGTTAAACTTGGATCAGGTTGGGTTCAGGTTAAATCAGTTCGGGTTATTTTCAGGTTGATTTGAAATCAGATTCAGTTCGGGTTCGAGTCGGGTTAATTTCAATTCGGATCGATGTTAGTTCAGGTCAAAACGGTTCAAGTCCGAATCAGTTAAATGCCAAGTTAATTCAGGTTCGGATGGACTTCAGATCGGATCTCGTTCAGATCGAGTCACATCATTAGCAAACAAAATTCAGGTCAGATCTTACCAGTTACGGATTGACTTCAAGTCGGGTCATTTTTGGGTTATTTACTTTTTCATCTTTCATGAACGTCGAATTTTAATTTGTAATTATATATGATTTATAGTAAATTACAAAAAATATAATTAAGGACTAAATTGAACAACATGAAATTATAAATAAAAATTTAAATAAATTAAACAACAGTACAACACGCATGGATGAGTGATCAAATTAAAATAATTATAAAATGTGAAGTTGAATTAATATAAAAACGGACTGGATTGCATCCATTTAAAAAGTTGGTAAACAAAAGTTTATAGGGTTTGGAGATTATGATATAATCTAATAATTTATAGAATTTGAAGTGAAGTTTATTATGTGATTTATATTTTATAGGGTGTGAAGTAAATTACAAAAATATAAATAAGTATGGGTCAATTTCATATACAAATATTATTTTAAGGACTAAATTGAATAAATATAAAATTAAAAATTTAAATTTAAATAAATTAAAAAAGACACATGGATCAAATAAAATAATTATAAAATATGAAACTAAAATTAATATAAAAATGGACTGAATTTAATTCATTTCAAAAGTTGAGGAAAAATTGAAACAATTATAATATATATATATATATAAAGTATTAAAGTATAATATTAATATATATATAAAGTATAAGTATACAATAATATATATATAAGTATAAAGTATATATGCATAGGATTAAATTAAATAAATACAAAATTTCAAGCTGAAATTAAAAGCAATTAGAATAAACTAAATGAATAAATTGAATTAATTTAAACTTAAGAGACAAGGCTACTATCTCCATAGAAGTGCGATCCTAGAAGCCCGAATTAAAAAGTAATATAATTTTTTTTTTCATATTCAATTCTATTGTTTTAATTTTCTGATTTCTCTCTCTCTAATTCTTTCTCTCGAAAAATTATCTCCCCTCTTTCTAGAAAAACAATTTTTTTCAGAATTCAAAATTTTTTTTAGATCAAACCCATAAAACTCATCTTCGTGTTCTTCATATGTTCTTCCAAAAAAAAAGTTTATCCGGTCCAAAAAAAATCATTATTTTTTATGTTTTTTTGGATCAAAACACAAATTTCTTTATCAGTTCTTCATTATTTTCTTTCTTCGATAAGAAAACATAAAAAATCGTTCATTTCTTATTTTTAAATTCACACCCAGACAATTCTTTTTATTTTCATCCTAAAAAAATATTTGATCAAAAAATATTAATATTCATTCTTTTTCTTTTTTCTGTCAAAACAAAATCCTTAAAAATTTCTTTATCATTTTCTCTCTTCGATCAAACCAAGAAAATAACCACTCTTCATCTAAAAAAAATCTATGGAATCCTCCATCTTCTCTTATGAACTCTTCATCTTCTTGACTCCTCTTTCCAGGTAAAAATCATGTTTTTTTTCTTTTTGCTTTTTATGCTCTGTATTTTAGGGTTCTAACAAACAAATAATTATCTTTTTTTTCATGCAGGAGACCTACAAAGAAATCAAAATGATCAACAAGCAGAAAGAGGTAAAAAAAACCAAGGTTATTTATTTTCTTTATTTGGTTTTTATTTTTAATTTTTTATATTTTTATATTTTATATTTTCTGTTTCTTATTTTTATTTTTGTTTTATGTTATGTTATGTTATTTTTTATTTTATTTTATGTTATTTATTATTTGTTTTGTATTATTAATTTGTATATTTAACGAGTATATGAATATTGAACTCTTTGATATAATATTCTAAGTTGGAATTTTTGTAATATTATATAAAATTTTAAAAAAATACCTCGTAATTTATTATATTAAAATGTAATAGCGATGACATAACAATATTTGTAATCAAAATATCTTTTTGTATATAAAATTTTATTATTTTTATTGTAATTATATCATTTATCGATTAAATTTATTATCAATACAAAATTTAACTATCGCTCAAAATATTTTAAAAAACTATTCAACACAAATAATAAATCAAAACAACTAAAAACAATCGAAAATTATTAAAAATTATACCACGTGAATTTTAGAGGAAGTAAATCATTTTGGGTTTAGTCAACCAATATGGTCATCAATTTATTATATATGTTGAAATTATGTGTACTTATATGGACTATTAATCAGTTACCTTTTCTTTGGTTACAATCAATTACCTTTTTTTATTGAGCTCATAAATTAAATAATTAAATTCTATAAAAAAAAGTTAAACCATTAAATGTATATGCTTTAAAAAAATACTAATATGTTAGTTAAAATTTCTCATATATCTTGACAATGCTTCTGCAAATGATAAAATGATTAAAAGACTTAGAGATGATTTGCATGTTATTTCTCCTCTTCCATGCAATGATAAATATTTTCATATAAGGTGTGATGCCCACATTTTGAACTTAATAGTTCAAAAAGGTTTGAAGGCAATTGATTCTTCTGTTATTAAGTTGCGATAAATTCTTAAGTTTATTGATTCTACTGATTCTCGACTTTGTGCTTTAGAATTAGCTGTTAAAAATTGTGAATCTTCTTTTCGTAGTAAATTATTACTAGATGTTCATACTCGATGGAATTCTACTTATTTAATGATTTATAGGGCACTTGATGCTAAATTAGCCATTAATTTGTTTGTGAATAGGGAAAATGATTTAGATGTGATTACTGAATATGAGTGGGAAACTATTCAAACAATTTGTGATTTTCTTGAGCCATTTTATGAAATTATTACTTTGTTCTCTAGATCTAAGTATCCCACCTCTAACTTGTATTTGACTAATGTTGTTGCAAATGAAAAAATGTTGTGTGATGCTCACAATGATCTTTGTCAAGGCATTTCTGCAATGGCAGGACCCATGCTTGAATTATATGAGAAATATTGGTCTGATCACTCATTGATTCTGTCTATTGTTGTTTTACTTGATCATCGATATAAATTACAACTCTTGAAGGAGTTGTACAATGTTCTTTATGTAGGGGACGAGGTTCAACGAATGGTAAGTGTCATATATAATGAGTTTGTTAATTTATATATATATTGTTCAAAATCTGCACTTTCTAGTTCTTTTTTTTTCTGTCCAAAGTAACACATCTCTAGAGATAAGTAAGTCAAGTTCTTTCAATCAGCCTCGAACATTTAAAAAATATGATCTATTTCAGGTCGATTTTATAATCTTAATTATTTTAATTTGATTATTATTTTTTTCACAATTCTAATAATTTTATTTTATTTGTATTTTCAGAATTTTGATGTTAATTTAGCTGCTTCAAGGACTGTAAAATCAGATGTTGATTTCTACATTAATTTGCCCCTTGTTCCCCGTAGTAAAGATGTTGAGTTTGTAGTAAAGATGTTGAGTTTGACATTTTGGGGTATTAGAAATCACAAAACGCTTCTTATTCGATACTCTCTCGCATAGCGAGAGATATATTGGTCATTCCAATTACTTCAGTTACTTCTGAATATTTCTTTAGCATGAGAGGGTTGGATTCTGAACAAGTTGAGAGTCAAACTTTTACCTAAAAATGTTGAGATTTTTGTAATGACTCGAAATTGGTTGTATGATTTTGAATCGGATGAAAGGGATGAAGAATATCTTATTGTAGCTAATGATTCTTCCCTTTAAAAGTAAATATTTGATTTGCTTTATTTTTCTTATGTTTATTTCATTTAAATTGTTTATTAATATTTGATTTTTGCTTTTGTAGGATGCTACTGCTTTTACATTTACAGCAAACACATTTGAATGAATTTGTGAATAATTTTTTCTTTATTCTTCCCTTTTATGGTAATTTCATTATTGTGTTTACTTCATAATTTTCATTAATACTTGAAATGATTTATTAATGATTTTTTTAACTTTTGTAGGGTTTCTTACAGCAAGCATATAAACGAATGTTTTACCAATGTAGGATTGGTAAAGTCTGAAATGTTTGACATTATTGACCATCGTATTCCCTTTGGCTTTACCATTGATTGGATTGGTATGAATGCCGACTGGACTTGGTCTGAATGTTGATTAGTTTTGGTCTAAATGATGAATTGATCTTTGTTGGTTGATTGTTGCCTTGTAAATTGTTGGTGTTGGTTTGACAGAACTGAACTATTGTAAATTTTTATCTAATTAGTTACCCATGGTTAAATTATGTCGGTGGTAATTTGGCTTTTAAAGCTGAAAAGATGCCAATAATTTAATCATGTTGGCAGCATTTAGATATTTTGAGATAAACAAAAGCTTGATGAAGAAACTTATGGTAGCAAAGCCGGGTTTTCAGCCTTGTAAAACTTTTAATTGTAATTGTGGTGTATTGAGTGGTAATAAATTAAATTTATACATTTTGTTAGTTTCAATATTTATAAAATTATGAAATTTTTAATCTCGTATTCTAATATTATCATAACTAGAATCATGTTTAATATATAAATTAAAATTTTAAGATAAATTAAATTTAAGTTATTAATTATTCCATAAAAATGATTCATGAATCAATTAATAAAATAATTTAATAGTCATAATTAATATTTTTAATAATATGATCGTAATAAATATAGAAAGTCAATTTAGCAATTTAAAGTAAATTTAGTAATATAATGATTATAATTACTAATTTATTTTACATTTACTATTAACATTATTAGTACCAAGTCATTAATTTAATAATTTTTTTGAATATATTTATTGGGTACAATTTATAAGCATAAAATGTAAATACATTAATTCAATATTTATAACATAATGAAATTGAGGGAAACTTGCCTTGGTGTCAAGCATGATTGCGATAGTGTCGTCTTTGGATTGTGCATTATATTCCTTAACTAAATCAATAGCTTTCTGATGAGATGCATGGTCTCCATGAGACATATTCAAACGAGCAACATTCATTCCAGTCTCAGCCAATTTCCGAATCATTTCTCGTGTGTTTGTTGAAGGACCAATAGTGCAAACAATCTTTGTTTTACGTCTAACAATAGTCCGAATCATTTCTCGTGTGTTTGTTGAAGGACCAATAGTGCAAACAATCTTTGTTTTACGTCTAACAATAGGTTTTGACCACATAGCCACTGATGTGTCACCAAGTTGTTGAATCCCCCTTAATTGCTCATATTGCTCCTCTCTCTGAAGAAGGGAAAGTTACAGAAGGTTACAACATATAAGCTATGGTTTCCCAGGATAAGTCCTTTGATTATAGATATAGTGAGAACTAAAATCTTATTTAGTTATTTACTATGTCATGCAACTGCAGTGCCCTCAATCTATAATAGAGTGCATATACCAAAAACTTAAATTTTAGCTTGTACATATAAATCAGACTTCCTAAATATAACCACAAAAATTAAATTGCTATAAACTTCAATGCTCCATTTATTTTACTGCAAGAGGGGAAACAGCTGGAATCATATCATTATCAATGACATGTTATGCTAGAGGTGGCAACATTAGACGCAGAACAGAAGAATTACATGAACACAGCATAAATACACCAATATCCCAATATCTACATGATACAAATTATTACTGTATCAACATGTATACGAACATAAAACACTTTAAAACGATCACAACATGGCAAAGTACACGAATACTGCACAGATACATGAATTACTTTCATGCCATTCATTTTTTAGATAGTATCTTTGGCAAATATATAACCCACGGAAAATCAAACATTGGTTTCCGACAAATAACAATATCTCAGAAGGAAACTTTGACGTGAGTCCGAATTTTTTTTCTCATGGTTTGGTGTCAGATTGTCAATGAAACCATGACTATAGTGCACAACGGCTAGCAGATTTCCCCTTTATAGAAAATCAACAAAAATCTCTTGCTAGCATTGTTCAAAAAAAAACTCTAGCAACGGTTGGTGCAAATTTCAATAATAATAGGATAATGCATGGCCAACAAACCAAACAGAACATTATACAACTTCACTGCACTCCATAGTAACACTACATTTATATACTTTATCCTAATGCTTTATTGGCTCCTGATTTCATCCAAAGACATACTAAGATTTAGAAAAGATCGACACATATTCTTTTTTTCCTTTTCGCACGCTTTTTAACCAACCAAAACACATAAGCGAAACGATAAAAAAAAAAGGTTCCTAGCAGCACAAACCTTCGGTACATCCTCCGGCGATACGGGAATAACTTCAGGCTCAACGCGTACGGCTCTCTTAGCAGTAATCCGAGAGTTACTCCTAATGACGACTCCCTTGCTCCTCTTCTCGTCACGTGCCAGCACCTTCGAAGCGAAGCTCGCAGGCTTAAGCTTGGCCGTTCGCTCGCGAACGGATCCAGAGCCTTGGCTCAAGAATGAGCCGTGAATCGATCTAGTGGCCACTTGCGCCATTTGCTAAAATGCGAGTTAGATACAGAGAAAGAGAGGGAAATGAAAACGTCTAATGGAAGAGGAGCTGATGAAATGGTGAGGGATTTTTCTGTTGATCCTTCAAAGAAACAAGTTGGAGATTGGAGAAATCGCCGCCAAATATGGCTTGTAGAAGAATAAAGGAAGGTTGGTTGGTGCTTAGTTTGTATCGACAACAGTACAGAGGCTTTTTAAAATATCAAAGCCGAAATAAATTGTGTTGATATATATAATTATTTAGTTTATGATTTACTACTATTAATTACAAAACTAATTTAAAATCGAATAATATTAATTTTATAAAATCGAAATTTTTCTATTATTAAAATTGACCGATATATGTAATGGGGTAAGGGAGAGGTATGATAGTTGGTTGGCCCCTAACGCTAAGTTGAGAGCAATTTCTCTGGAAGACCTCCTGCAATTATGAATTGCCCACCGTGAGACTCGATCCCACGACCACAAGATTAATAATCTTGCGCTCTACCAACTGAGTTGGGCACACAATTCATTAAAAACTATTCTCTGTTCAATTGTTTATTTATAAAAGAGAATCCATGGATATTTTATTATCGAAATGATATCGAAACCATAGAAGATATTGAAACGATGATTGCCAAAAGGATATCTCTCGATTTATTTAATAATATTAGCGAGACAAGTCTTGCACCTCACACACTAGCTAAAATGGAGGCACTGTAACTATTTCGATCATCATCGAACTTATTCCAAAGCATAACGCCACCATACTTTGATGATCTCTTGATAACCGGAAGAATTTGAGAAGTCAACACATTAGGCGAGACATACCCGCTTCCGGCTGCGGCCGATGCCGTCGGCAACCCTAAAAATATATTCCCCGCGTTTATCGATGAAGTCCACCGATTCCATGAGTTCACGAGGTTGTTAACGTTGACCGACGTGTACTGGCATGGCGGGTTATTATAAAACTGAATCCAAGCGTAATCAAAGAGGCTTGTATTAAGAGCAGCTCCCAATAATCTATTTGGAAACGGACACTGAGGAGCTGCTGTTAAATACACCTTTCTTCCTCGGTTGCTGTAAGCCGATAGAGAACGAGCGAGATCATCGTAGTGTAGACTCGACCCGAGCTCGATATCGAAATCGATGCCGTCCAAGACGGCGTCTCCGAGTGGACGGGAAGACGAGCTGCCACCCAAGAAGTTGTTCCATAGGTAATCAGCTATGTTTTTGGGCGTCTGCTTAAGCCAGTGAGTGGCTGCCAAAGCCCCCTCCAAGGGAGAGCATGACCTTGACTCCTCGGCTTTGGCAGCTCTTTATGTCGCTGCTTACAGTGGCGGCGTAACCGTTTGATGCTGGATTACAGTGGCCGGCCAAGTTGATTCCGGGGATCGGCAATTGCCGAATTGATTGAGGAAAGCTATGTTAACGTAGGTGTATCTTCCGGTGGCACAGGTTGCTGCCAAGGTGCCCTCGTTTCCGTTTTGGCCCCAGTAGATGGCGATGCTACCGGCATGGGAAGCCCCAATCAGTGCTGAAATTAAAACAATAATCTGAGTAATGAAACTAAATTTCTTGTCATTTTTGCTAAAGATGTTTGCTTCTAATGTGCAGCTCCATCCAATAGAATCAAAGTCTTCTCAAACTCGTGATTTGGGGGGGGGGGGTAAAACAGATTAATAAAAGAGAATGGTTTAATTTTTTCCTACTCCCTATACTCTTAAGACTTGAGACTTGATCTATTTGCTTTTAATTTCTTCAACTTAGTCCATCTAATTTCTTTTTCGAGTGGATACAAATACTAGTACAATTATAAAGACAACCAATACATCGATAACTATAACCATAACTGATATAAACAAGACACAATCCGTCAGTGTTGGATTAAAATTCAAAATTATGGGTACATATGTATAATTTATAATATTATTATAAAATATGATATAAAATTAAATAATCAATTATGTTATACAAGTCATAAGGTTTAGAAATATTACAAAAATAAAAGTATATATACTAATAAAGTTATATTTATAATTCGACGAGGGACAAAATTATAAATACATACAATAATAGATTATTAAATTAATTATGTAAAGTAATGACCCCAAGAAAATTTCTAAGATTTCGACATTCTAAGTAATATCCAACAATAGATTCAAACACGCTTTCATAAATCTATATTTAAAAAGAAAAAGTTTAACTGATAATTAAATTGTATTTGAAAATCATAATATAATAATATGTAAATATAATTATTGTTTAATAATTTTGTGTGTGTAATTATAAAAATATTTGATTTATTAAATATATTTAATTGATAAAATATATTTATATATTAATTCTTTGTAATAAATCATAACCATTTTTGTTTGTGTTTAAAGTAAACGTCGTAGCTTGTGTCGTCGAAGCTGAATTAGTTGACTACTCTTTTGTCAATGTTCTTTTTGGATTTTTATACTTGTATTACTTTCATTGACATTCTTTTTATGCTATGAGGTCTCTATATTTGTTGTAATTGGATTAATTTTAGTTTTTTTTGTTATTCCGATTTTAAGGTTTCGTTTTGATTAATTCGGATAGGTGAATATTCCAACATGAATTTTATACATACACAATTATTCGAACTCGAGACATTATTTAAGTGATATCAAGTTGTTTACCCCTGTAAATAATTTTAGCTTTTTTAATATATATGTGTTTCTATTCTGATAATAATATTTTTCTAATGAATTTATTAAATAATTTAACATTTAGAGGTGAGTAAAAGGGTTAATTTAGTTGGGTTTTTTTTCAGCTTAACCAATTTAATTGATTATATCATACAATAATCAAATCAACTTATCAACTACTCTAAACCCATTCAACATTGGCCAATTTGATTGATTAAGTCAATTAATTGTTTATATATATTTATTAAAAACTTATTTTAAATAATTTATATTAAGTCAAATAAATCCATTGTTTTGGTTATGAATTTTAAAAATTATATAATCGTTTGACAAAATCGATTTATTTGATGTCTTAAAAACAATTAATATGCAATATATATATATATATATATATATATATATATATATATATATATTAGATGAAATTTCTATGAAATTCTTAAAAACAATTAATATGCAATATATATATATATATATATGTATATGTGTATTAGATGAAATTTCTATGAAATTTTCTCGAATGTCTTGTTGAAAATGGTAGTAGCTCTTTGTAAGTCTACGGGTTTCAACTTTTGGGTGAGTCAATGGACATAAGCATTATGTATATCTAGAAGCAAAGACTACCAATGGTCGAAAATGTTGAACATTCGATTTTCAATTTTCAAATGTAGGAATGGCAACGGGGCGGGTTTTGTTCGCCCCGTCCCCGAACCCGAAATGAATCTCCATCTCCGACCCGATCCCCGTCAGAGATTTTTTTTGTCCCGTCCCCGAACCCGACCCGAAATATTATACTCAAACCCGAAAATATTATATATATAATTAATATAAAAATATAAAATATTATATATATATATATATATAATCGGGGCGGGGATACCTTGCCACGTCCCCGATACCCGACCCGACCCGATATCATTCAAACCCGATCCGACCCTAATTTGCCCGGATTTCGGGTTTTCCCGTCGAGTTCGGGTCATTCTGCCATCCCTATTCAAATGAATTATTATTCAATATTTTAATATTTTGAAGATTTTTTTAAAAATTACTAAAAAAATAATCTAATGAGATAAGATATTAAATCTTTTAGTAAGATTAAGAAGTCAAATTTTAATTTTATAAGTAAAACAAATAAAATTTTTTATTTTTTATCTAAATTAATCTAATATAAAAAATTATACTAAAATTCAAGTAATGATGTTTTACTAAAATGTATAGTGTTTTTTAATAAAAATATTATTATAACACCAACGAGATTTTTATGGGTAAGTTAGCCATTATAATATATAGGATTGAGATTAAGGGTAAGAAATGAGAAGATATTTATTAAAAAAAAGAAATTAAGAATCAATTTTAACCATTTATTTTTACTTATCTAACTATCTAACACAAAAATTCATGAGACATCTATGAAGACGCCATGAACAACAACAAAGTTGCAAGGAATTTCAGAGTTTCCTATGCAGTGAGCCCATAGTAACGTCGTAGCTAAGCTTAGGCCAAGCCACCTTAGTCCCGAAAACCTGAGAAGTATGAAATTTGGGCCACCTTGTATAAATTTTCACAGTGCCTCTGTTTATATCAAATGAAGAAGAAATATGTGTTCACATTCTTAAAAAATATTTTAAATTTTACGCGTTTTCTATTTTATAAAAATTTAGCATGATTGAGTACTTGTGTAATATATACGGCAAAATCTGTTGAATAATGTGTTGAAAAAAAAATTGCTCAGATGATGCAGTCAAAGGATTATTTGTCCATATGGGGTGAATGCTACAGTTTTTCATAGGTCGCCATGTCTTCCAAACGACCTATGTTGGTCACTATGTGCTCCGAACAACGATTACCTAAATTTCACTAAGTAACAAATATTACCTATATCGGTAATTAGACTTTCATGTGATTACCTAAATTTCCCTAAGTAACAGCGATTATCTACATCATTAATTAGGCTTTTTAACTACGTTGAAATGGAGGTTTTAGGGTTTCGGGTAAAAGCCTAATTACCAATATAGGTAATGCAGCAGCTCACCACAACTCGCAGGGACGGCATGGCGACCTTCTTGGTCGTCATGAGCGCCTGGCGACATATGTTCGAACTGTAGATTTCACTCTATCTCAACAATTAATTGTTGTAACGCTTTATCTCGTGATTTTTTTTTCCAACAACATTATCTCGTTGATTTTGCCAATATATACATACACTTTTATTAGAGCTAAGATATAATTATATAATGTAATTTTTTTTAAATTTATACATTTTATGCTTTGTTGAATGAGAGAAATTAAAGGTTGATATTAAAAATAAAAAATAAAAAGATATTCGCTGAAAAAAAGAGTTAATATCAGCCTTTAGTTTCTTCTCATTGGATCCTATATATATATATATATATATTAGGAATAATATCTATAATGTATTTTATATTATTTTAATTAGCCTTTTTATTTTATGAAATAAAAAAATCTTTTTATTTATATTGAGTCAGATCATGTTGTTTTCGAGTGCAAAATTTAACTCTAAAATTCATGTAATCAAATATGAGAGGACTTTAAATCGAATTTACCAGAATTTTAATAGTCACCTGACACAATAATATATGAAATCTCAAACAAAATATATAAAAATATAGATAACACATTAATATGTAATCAAATCTCGAATAAAATGTGTGTATATATATATATATATATATATATGATATAAACGATTTCAATAGTTGAAGGGACAATTGTTATCTTTAAAAATATCAAGTTAAGTACGACGTCTATAAAAATATTCGAACGTCATTAACTAATTGAAAATCTTACGAACATATATTATTTTATAATCATCTTATATTAAAAAAATAATCTTAGACAATAATAAAAATCCCTCGATTTCGATTAGTTTTTAAATAGAATTTTAGGACGATATGAATTTTATTTTTATAATATTATATTTGAATTAGGATTGAGTTTTACCTCAAACCCATCCTGCCCTAACCTAAAATTATTAAGAAAAATATTTTAAATCACGTATAAATTATCATGGCCTACACAACTATTATTATTATTATTATAAATTTAATCTCTCTAATGCATCTGTTTGAATTTATCATAATTTTATTTTTTAATATAATTAGTATATATCCAAATCCTTAACTTAAAATATTCTTATTGTATAATATCATGGACTTAAAGTCTATGGTTAGAGCATTGATGTGTGAATAATAAGTTGACACGTTTGGTGGTGCTGTCGTATCAGCTATGTCACCGTCGTCAATTCATTTAGAGGGTTTTGCCCGCTCTTAAATGGTTCCCGCTTTGTCCGTTTTTAATAAAAATAAATTATTAAATAGAACGCCGCCGCCGACACCATAGTCAACGTCTAGAATCATAGTGCGTCCCTTTCCTCAAATAATAAGTATTATTTATATTGTTAGGTCACCGGTGCCCGCAGGCCGCATGTGAGTTTTCTCAAATTATATTGGACAAAAGTTAAAATAGAGATTATTTGTAAAATATATATCGTTAGGTAATTTACTGATAAATTATCCTTTGCTTTTTACATAAATTTTTTGCTTTATATATTTATAGATTAATCAAAGAAATAACATGAAATAAATTAAAATATAGAGATACGATAAATTCACTTAGAAATTAAGTCAAAAATAACAATAATGGTCAAAATCGTTCCATTAATATTGGACAACGCCATCTTTTATTGAAAGTTAAAAAGAGTAAAATATATAAAAAATTTGAATTACGTTAATGATTTAGTTATTGCATTTTTAAAAGTTATAAATAAGTTAAATTTAGTAAATTGTTAAACTATAACTATTCAATGTTACACTAATTATAATTTTTTTTAATTTATTGATTATTTTGAAGCAATTTAATGAAACTTAAGAATTATTTTATATCTTTAAGAAGCTTAATGATAAAAAAGACATTTCAACATAATTTAATGGCTCTTATGTTTTTTATAAAAAAAATTGGTGACAATAATATTTTTTTTATTTATTCACCTGGTATCGTGTATAATTATCGATGACATATAAATATTAATTTAATAAATATTATTTTTTTAATCAAAGTACCTAAATAAATTTATAACCTATATAGTTCATGATTTTTTAAACAAAATAAAAATATGAGTCGCCATCAGCATTTGTCAAGAAAATTTAATGACAAATGGTCTAGTAATTTTCATTTTCTAATACATAATTCGCAAGCAAATGGGGTCATATGGCATGCTTATACGTATGAATCGCTTGCTACAAATGTAATCATTAACTTTTGCAAATATTCCTTAACAATGACATAATCTTATCACCTCCCCTCCAATTAATTCTTCCTGACTTTTTTTTGTTTTTGTTTTTTTAAGCCTTTTTTATAACCAAAACTTTCATTGATCATCCCATAAAACCAGGTCCAGCTTATTAAAGCACTCATCAATGGCAGAAGAAAACACATGCATGGATCACTACGTACTATACCCCACATCCACAGCCACAACACCTCCTTAACATATCCTTTGTTCTTGAACTTTTAGATGAATACAAATATAAAAGTAATTGATAAATTTGTGTGTTTATCTTCTGATTTTTTTTAAATCGGATTTACTTACTGTGTTCTTTGTCTTCACATGGTGTTTTCCGGGTCTTCCGGTACTATTATTATTGTTTTTGTTTTTTTGCATGTGATGATGCTCTCTCAAGCAAGTACAGCTCATAAATGATAAATCTTTCTCTCAAATGATTATCATCCAATGGAGTAGCTGATTTGATTCTTGAATAATGTGCTTTATTTGTTTGTTTGTTTTCTGTGTTCATGTTTGCTTCCTTTTTCAATTTTCCAGGGATTAACAGCCCATGCCAAGTTCTATAGTTTTAATCATTTCTGAAGCTTTCCCGAGTTTTCATTTGATCTGGGCTATGGGTTCTTCTCTCCAAGTAAGTTTGTTATTCTTAGTGTGTTTATTCTTTGGCGTTTGCAGATTACTGTTTGGTTGTTGAGAAAATGTAGAGAAGTGGTAGAAACCGATAGGAAAAGTCAACAGATAGATAGATCTAAAGCTGGTGCTTTTTTATCTTTAATGATTTTGTTTCTGACTTTCTGATATCTTAGTTCATTCAAATTCATGTAGATGTGGCCAATTTTTTCCTCAAAAGATTCTCTCTTTTACTGAGATTTGAATTGTTGGGGTTGCTGGAAAAACGAGAAAGAAAATGAACCCATTGTTAATAGTCATCCTGGGGGCATTTTTCTCATCTATCCTTGCAGACCCAGTTGAAGATAAACAAGCATTGTTAGATTTCATTGAACATATTCATCATCATTCAAGCTCCCTCAAATGGAGCAAGGAAGCCTCTGTTTGCAGCGCCTGGATTGGAGTTTCATGCAACAGTGATAATTCCAGAGTTATCGGTCTGCATTTGCCTGGAATGGAATTCCAAGGCCCTATTCCACCCAATACTTTGAGTAGATTATCAGCTCTTGAGTTCTTGAGCCTTAGATCCAATGACATTTCTGGATCAGTCCCTTCTGATTTTGTCCAACTCAAGAACTTGACTACCCTTTATCTTCAGTTCAATGAGTTTTCTGGTTCATTACCTGATTTCTCAGCTTGGGGTAATCTAACAATCGTTGATCTTTCGAGCAACGGCTTCAATGGAAGCATTCCTCCTTCGGTTTCGAAATTGGAACACTTAATGGCCTTGAATCTTTCTAATAACTTGCTTTCAGGTGATATTCCTGATATCAATATCACTAGCTTACAACATCTTGATTTATCCAACAATAATCTTACTGGTACCATCCCCAAGTCTCTTCAAAGATTCCCACTCTGGGTTTTTTCCGGTAATAGTAATCTTTCCTCATCAGCCATTGTCCTTCCTCCTCTCCCGGGCCAAGCACCGAGTTCTCAACCATCCAAGAAAGTTAATAGACTCGGTGTACCTGCACTCTTGGGGATAATAATCGGAGCTTGTGCCTCCTTCGGTTTCGAAATTGGAACACTTAATGGCCTTGAATCTTTCTAATAACTTGCTTTCAGGTGATTTCCTGATATCAATATCACTAGCTTACAACATCTTGATTTATCCAACAATAATCTTACTGGTACCATCCCCAAGTCTCTTCAAAGATTCCCACTCTGGTTTTTTCCGGTAATAGTATCTTTCCTCATCAGCCATTGTCCTTCCTCCTCTCCCGGGCCAAGCACCGAGTTCTCAACCATCCAAGAAAGTTAATAGACTCGGTGTACCTGCACTCTTGGGGATAATAATCGGAGCTTGTGTCCTGCTGTGTGTTTTAATTGCCCTTTTGATCATGTGTTATCAGTCGAAGAAACGAAACCGACGACAAGAACTCCCGGAAAACACACGAAAGAAAGACTTCGCTTTGAAGAAAACGGCTTCTGAGAGTCGTGACAAGAACAACAGGCTCGTGTTCTTCGAGGGGTGTAATCTGGCATTCGATCTCGAGGACTTGTTGAGTGCTTCTGCTGAGGTGCTTGGGAAAGGTATATTTGGGGTGACATATAAAGCGGCCTTGGAGGATTCGACAACCGTGGCGGTGAAGAGGTTAAAAGAGGTAGCCTCAGCGAAACGGGAGTTCGAGCAACAAATGGAGGTAATTGGCAATATCAGGCATGAGCATGTGTCTGCACTTAGAGCATATTATAATTCAAAAAATGAGAAGCTTGTGGTTCATGATTACTATGACCTGGGAAGTGTCTCTGATCTGTTACATGGTAAACTAACTCTTTACACTCGAATCCGGGTCTGTTTTGTTCAATATAATCTTTTGTTTTTATACTCAATCTATGGTAACATGATGCAGGTAAAAGGGGAGAAGGCAGGACACCTCTGGACTGGGAAACTAGGCTTAAGATCGCAATTGGTGCTGCTAGAGGCATTGCTTATATCCACACACAAAGCAATGGAAAACTTGTTCATGGAAACATAAAAGCCTCCAACATTTTCCTCAACTCCGAACGATACGGTTGCATTTCGGATATTGGTTTAGCACTGGCGATGAGTCCAATGCCTCCACCCATACTGCGTGCTGCGGGTTACCGTGCTCCCGAAGTAACAGACACAAGGAAAGCAACTCAAGCATCTGATGTATACAGCTTTGGGGTGTTTTTACTTGAGCTGTTAACCGGGAAATCACCAATACATGCCACCGGTAGCGAGGAGATTGTTCACTTGGTGAGGTGGGTGCATTCGGTGGTTCGAGAAGAGTGGACGGCCGAAGTGTTCGACGTGGAACTCTTACGGTATCCGAATATAGAGGAGGAGATGGTGGAGATGCTACAAATTGCAATGAGTTGTGTGGTGAGAGTGCCAGAGCAGAGACTGAAAATGACAGATGTAGCGAAAATGGTGGAGGAAAATTCGACGAGCTGGCAACGGGAAGCAATCATCTTTTGAAACTACACCGGAAACCTCGGGTTCAACAACAATCCCACATGTAGGAGCTGAAACAGCCTCCTGTTCAGCAGTTCCACTGTGAGAGATTCATTTAGAATTAATCAGTACAGAATCTGTTAAAATTTCATATGAAATAGGGAGATGGATAAGGGCTTTTGATTATTTAAGTCATTAACTAGTCTAGTTATCTGGGCTATTGTTTCATTTAAACAGTATGGTTTTGTTCAGTGAATTGCTTATTAGATCTATTTAGCTCTTGATTTCTAGTTCGCCTTTGTGTTTCTTGTCGAACAAAACATAATCAATCACAATCAATGGACAAGAAAACCAGAAACAAGTTGAGAAATTGATTCCTTTGTTTTAAATTTCCACCTCTATGGCCCAGCAAGCAGGCCAGGCTACCACCATTTCATGGGTATATAGGGTAGTTTTCTTCTGTCTTTTGCTTGTGGACTTTAGCCACTAGGCGTCTGGTTTTGCCGACTATATATAAAATATAAAGTGCCAGTCAATATGAACGAATTCTAATAATCCCAAGTTGTTTCATTTAATCTTTTCTTAAACCTGGATTCAAAGGACGGCCATTTTTGCTAGTATATATAACGAGTGTGTGTGTGTGTGTGTGTGTATATATATATATATCATATGGATAGAGAGAAAGGGAGCATAGTGGAAAGGGGTAAGACATGAGAAACGGTAGGCCTTTGCTGTTGTGCATGGTGATGCTATTGGCTGGATCTTTGGGTGCAACCGCAAGTCATGCATGTAAGCCATTTAACCGCAGCTGTTTTCCTGAAGGTTTTTGTCTTCGGTGCTGGATCGGCTGCTTACCAGGTGCCTATCTTCTCCCATTAGTTAATTAATGCTATTATTGTCTATGTTCGTTTTCCCGGAAGTAGGTAAAGTGTTGTCTATTGAGAATCATTGTACGTGTCCAAGTACATCGAAGTATTGTACCAGTATAATCAGAAGACAAAATCGGAATATAAAGTAATAGCTGATGTGTGATGCTCCCAACTCCGAGAACATTCCAACAGCATTTCTCGGCAAAGTCGAGATGTCAACAGTTATATGTATATTTTTAGAAGAAGATGCATTGACTATATGTAGCACATTGTTCTGCATACTAATATCTGTACTGCAGATCGAAGGAGCGGCTCTTGAAGATGGAAAAGGACCAAGTTTCTGGGACAATTTCGTTAGAAAATATCCAGGTTCATTATTGACAAATCAAACCATTATTAGGATTTTCAATATATATATATATATATATATAACTCAATCTGAAGTTAGCTTGGCATGTTGTGACAGAAAGGATCGTTGATGGAAGTACAGGGGATGTAGCAGTTGATTTTTATCATCGCTACAAGGTTTGTAGCCCTATAAATTACTTGTTTAGATTCATAAAATATATATTTTTTATTCATAAAAGGTTATATATATATGCCCTACAGGAGGATATAATGCTTATGAAGAGAATTGGTTTGGATTCCTTCAGATTCTCCATTTCATGGTCCAGAATTTTACCCAGTAAGATTAATTCTTACTAAAATATTTTGAATTCGAAAAATTTCGACATCGAAATCCAAATTTATAGCTTCTGTTTTCTTTTCTCAGAGGGGAAACTCAGTAGAGGAGTGAACCCATTGGGTGTCCAATTCTACAACAATCTCATTGATCATCTCCTTGCCAATGGTATAAAGCCCTTTGTGACTTTACTCCATTTTGATCATCCCCAAGCTCTTGAAGATGAATATGGTGGATTTTTAAGTCCCAAGATTGTGTAAGCTTCGTGTTTAATTCGGATTCGTCGATCGTTCTAAAGTATTTGTGTCTGAGACATATTCGAACTCGGAACATGAAATTAACCTGTTTATTCAGGGATGACTTTGTTGATTATGCTGGTTTTTGCTTTAAAACGTTTGGGGATAGAGTGAAGCATTGGGTGACGATGAATGAACCAAATGGGTGGAGCACGGGACTTGCCACTGGCTCTTCCACTTCATCGAACCAGTCTTATATCTTAGCCCATCACTTCCTTCTTTCCCCATGCGTCAAAATTTTAGATTTTTTATTTATTTTTAACCACCAAACTTTAATCTATATACCAATTTGGTCTCTCCTAAAAATTGTCAACTCCTCTTCCAACCGTTGTCAGTCAATCATTGACCACTACCTATCGTCATTTGTGGTAAGATCGATATTAAAACATGTTGAATTTTCGCGACAAGATTACTCTAAATTTGAACTCCAACGGCTATGAACGTGCAGGCATCTCAAAAGGGAGAAATCGGAATTACCTTAGTAACCTTCTGGTTCATTCCAAAATATGATACAACTGAAGACCGCAAGGCAGCTTCCAGGGCATGGGATTTCCTTTCCGGATGGTGAGCCAAATTATGCTAAATTTCCCCTATCATTGCACACTTCAACCTTACACCAAACAATTCATTTATGCTTATCATATTCGTATTACTTTTTCGTATCCGAATTTACGGAATCGAATTCGAACATTTCTCGTAAAAAATGTTGCAGGTTTTTAGATCCAGTAATCCACGGTGAGTATCCAAAGAGCATGCAGGCATTGGTAGGGAGCAGATTGCCCAAATTCACTAAAGCAGAGTCCAAGATGTTAAAAGGGTCCATTGATTTCCTCGGTGCAAATTATTACACTAAAGCAGAGTCCAAGATGTTAAAAGGGTCCATTGATTTCCTCGGTGCAAATTATTACACTTCAAACTACGCAGCAAATGCTCCTCCGTCAAATACTTCCAACTTGTTCAGTGATGCCAGGGCAAATATCACAAGTATGCTTATCATATATCATTGCATTTGAACCAATAGGAACTAGCATTCTCATTAACGTACCATTTCGTTCATGCAGCCGAGAAGAATGGAGTCCCGATCGGCACACCCGTAATCTCTAAGCTCTCTCTTTCCTTTTCCTTTTTTTTTGTCCGGATCTTCCGTTTGACGAACAAAATATCGGTGTCGATTTTGCAGACTGATGTGAGCTGGCTTTTCGTATATCCGAAGGGTTTGAGAGATCTTATGCTACATATAAAGAAGAAATACAACAATCCACCTATTTACATCACGGAGAACGGTTAGCCAGATCACCGGAATCTTCGGGCCTCGAGTTTGGAAATCGGAATTACCCTAAATTTCGTTTCTTTTCTCCCTGCAGGGGTGGCTGAAGCAAAGAATGACTCGTTGCCAATAAAAGAAGCCCTCAAAGATAGCACAAGGATCAGATACCTTGACGGCCACTTAAAGTTCCTGTTAAAAGCAATACAGTGAGTACTTGGGAAACAAATCGCTCGATGTAAAAATAATCATTTTAGTCACCAATCTTTCAAAATTTACAAAATGATCATTAAATTTTGGCAGGGAGGGTGTTGACATAAAGGGTTACTACATGTGGGCGTTTCTGGATGACTTCGAGTGGACTTCTGGGTATACCCTTAGGTTTGGGTTCACATACATTGATTACAAGAACAAATTGAGAAGATACCTTAAGCATTCAGCTTACTGGTTCAACAAGTTTCTCCATAGTTAACTGCAACAGTCCAGCCCATTGCGGGGGCAATACCCATGCCCACCATGCAATTCTTAGTTGCATTATTGCCATGAATAGACTGAGAGGAGCGGGTGGGGAAGTTGTCTCCTTTAAAAGTTTTAAATTCTCATATTTTTAGATGTTTTTTTATATTTTCGATTGAAAATTTGTTTTCATCCCTTAAAATTTTATAAATTTATATTTCTCTAAAATTTTATAAATTTACCTCATAATATAAAATTTTACGTCTATTTCACATATGATTTCAATAATTCATTTATATATTTGTGTGTATAAAAAAAAATTTCATACACTGTCTATAAACTTTTTAATGTGGTTGAAAAGGTGACAAAGTGTAGATTGGTGGAAGGGACAATAAAAAATCTCGAACACAGATAATAAAATATGCATTAATCATATAAGAAAATTAGTGTGAAGTGTATAAATGGTTATTTAACTATGTTAAAAATGATATTTTTAATTATTAAAGTTTTAAAAGTTTTAAAATAATTATTAAATTCATTAAACTGTTATAAATTTGTGAGGACATATTATAAATATAGTGATAAATTTCTATAAGTTAAAAATCATTTTATAACATTTTAAAAATAGTAATGATCATTTTATAACAATTTAATTTAATAATTATTTTATAACTTTTGATATTTAACAATAAATAATTTATTTCAACATAATTTGGTGACCATTTACTATTTTACCCAACATATTATTATCTTATGAAAATAGTTCTCCAAGCTAAATAGAAATATAAGAAATATAAACTTATCCAAATTCATTTAGTATGTCACACAACATCTTTCATATCTTCCCACTTTGACCAAGAAGATAAATACCAATGTGGTTAGAGATGGGTAAAACTACCTATCAAATCCCTATATTATAGGGACCAGCTCAAATTAAGTCTTATATAGCTTGGATCTTATGCGTTATAAATTTTTTGAATCGAATAAAATAAAATTTAAATTATAAATTTTAATAAAATTATTAAATTAGAATTGTATCATTCAAGTCATTAACATATACTGTTTTATTATTTTTATCAACACATGTCTGGTCATGAACTTGACAAAAGATCCCAGTCCAAAATCTATCTCAATATATATATATATATATAAGGCTAAGATTTCGTTGGTCTGGCTTATGGGTCGTGAGCACGAGTGGAGGGCACCATTGTCCCTAAAAACCAGGCTCAAACTCAATCGTTATTATTTAATTAAGTAAACCAAACCCTATCTTAGTTTGAAGGAACTCCACATTGTCTCCACTTAAGACAAAGTCAGCAGAATCACAAACTGGCGAGGGGCAACTTCCCCAAAACACTCACGCTTCTACTACTACCGCTTAGGGTTGTAAATGAGACGAGACAGATCGCGATCTATTCAAGATCGACTCGAGTTATTAACGAGTCAAAAAGAGTTACTTGATATTCGACTCGAAAAGTTCGTGAGCAGCTCGAAAATATAATATATTAAGATTTTATTTTTAAAAAACAAATTATTAATAATATTAATATTTATGTATTATTTTTTTTTTAAAAATACAATAAGATTTTCATGTATTTAAGATTCATGTTTGAATTTGAGTTTGAGGCTTCAATCGAGTTAAGTTTAAGAATTTTTTTTTCATTTCGAACCTTTTTGAGTTGCTCACGAGCTTCAGTTCAGGATTTCGAGTTCAAGTCGAACTTGAAAATTTTAAGCTCGCGAGTTTTCGAGTTGAGTCGAGCTCAATAATACTCGAACTTGACTTGGCTCGTTTACACCCTACAGTACCGCCAACAATTTAAACTATACTAATATCAAATAAAATGTACACCCCTCGTAACTCAAAAAAACTTCAATGATGGTGACAGAAACATATTAGGAGTCGGAGCTCGAAGACGATTCATTTTATAACTTAATATTTTTATATAATGTTTTCAGAAAAGAAGAATGTTATCATTTCCAAATGTATTTTTCATGTTAATTTAAAAGATCAAAATCATAAAGTTTGAGATTTTAATATCGAAATCTAAATTTTCTTCAAATAAATTTTGAATATACTTTTATATTTAATTTATTATTCTTCGTATTTGATATGACACATTTGAATTTAGATTTTTTTTGGTTTTGCTTTTGCTTTTGTCCTTTCAGAGGGTAAAAGTGTTTAGGCCTATGAGTTAAGATGGAGTTATTAAGCTTCCTTAAGATGATAATCTGTATTACATTTGGAGTTATGGTTGCATGTTGCCTTGAGGACCATGTGCATGGGATTTGACTAATCCTTTTGTAGGGTTGGCATAACTATGCAATGGTCACTTGTATTTATCTTATAGTATGTGTTATGTTAAGTATTATAAATCCATTTAACGAATTTAGTGATTATAAAAAAATATTATTCTCTTTTAAAGTTTTGGGTTTGAGCAGTTGCATTTGTAATATACGTATATATTATAAATGGTTAAAAGAAATTATAAACATATACTACATTATAATCATCATATACTACATATTTAAGTTAAACTATATTTTGTTTTACATATGTAAGTTATGATATTTTATTTTATTTTATTAATATGTATTGTATTATTATAGATTTTATTGTATGGATATCATATTTTTATATGCTTTTACGATACATCTTCTTCAGTTGGATTTTACATAGGTTTTTTAAGTATGCTTTTATGTACGTATTTTCTTAATTTATTCGGACCTTATATCAATAGACTATTTTTATTTATTTATAGACATTTGCAATCATCGAAGATAAGTCATGATTGATTTATAATAAAGTCAGTTTATTAGAATGTTTTCATTATTATATACATTTGTATGTTAGTGTTTTTGTCATAATCCATGGACAAATAAGAGAAATCTATTGAAAATAAATACACTAAAACACAGTAATACACTGAAAACTGAACATACTCAAATCTATTATTATTTTTAATTACAAATTAAGTATATATTAATTAACGGAATTAAAATTACGAATAAATTAAACATTATTTTTACAAAAAACATTAAAATAGGTGATATATGATATTACTTTTTTTAGAGTTTGTGATATGAAATTCTATTATGATTTAATTTAAAAAAAAAATTGTGAAACGACTCAAATAATGAAGAAATAAAATTAAGAAAAAACAAAGATATTTGATGAATACGAAAGCTCGACAATACTCGAGCTCGACTCGGCTCGTTTACACCCCTAATCCTTTCTTCTGTTTTTAATGGTTGGTAATTAACTGGACTGGTCGAGGGCCAAACTCCAAGGATGCAGCTCAAGTTTTTCGAATAATGTATTTGCTAATCCATATGTATATGTATGTTTGCGATTTTCTGTTATATCCATGGCTCTAAGACATGGGATCTTTAAACATTTGATTTGTTTTACTAATTCATCAATATACATGCAAAGATATACATGTATTAAAAGTGATTATAAGAACTAATTTAATTAATTTTTGATTTCTAGGCAAAGTACATAAATGGTCCCCTGACTATAGGATACTACTTTTTTGAGTCTCCTATTATTAAAAGTTACAAAATTGTCTCTCGTCATTATGTTCGAAACTTATCATTTTCCGTTAAAACTTAACGGCGGTCTGAGTTGGACATTAACCTGCTAACTTAAGATATGATAAAATTTGTTAGCATAATCTCAAATGATTAAATAAAGTAATTATCTATTGTCGGGAGACCATAATAGTTGTTGGACTCAACAAAACAATACCTTATAGACGGGAGACCATTCGTGTACTTTACCCATTATTTAAAAACTATTTTATTAACTTGCAACATTCAAATATGCCATTCGAAAGAACTTGGGCGGGTCGAGTTCAAAATTGTGATATAAAATTTTTCAAAAATCAAATTACGATTTAATTCAACTTATAAATGATTATAAATACAACATAAATCGAAATAAATAAATTAAAATTTGAAAGCCGAATGATTTAGATTGAGCTCGAGGAACCAGCACCCTTTTGGACCAAAGTAGCATGTGCCCCAAGAATTTCATGTGATAGGCAATGGTAACATTAATTGTACCGGAAACAAGACATTATCACCCACCTTCCCATATCATGACTTCCATTTGGTTCCTCTCTTCTATACGCGTGAAATGTCCAAATTTCACTACATTGACTGACAACGATATGATTTTATAAAATTAAAACAAAATCATAACCCACATAGCTAATCAATTACAATGTTTCAAATTAGACACATCTAAGCACAAACGGATAATAATTAATCCAAATAATATAGCCATATGTTATAATAATTTAACAAAACGGCAAGAGATAACTGTGAAAATATGGGTGAAACCAGGGGCACGTGTATAAAGACGAACCAATTGATCTTGATGGTAAAAGAATTGTTGTTATTTTTTTAGATTCCGGGTTTAAGCACGAGAAGTGTCAGGGGTATGAGCGTTTAATGTCAAATGGTTAATAGTTATCTTTAAACATATATTGCCTTCTATTTACCCCATATTATTAAAATAAAAATAGATGGGCTAGTAACTAATTTATTTAATTTTAAAATTAAAAAAATCTTAAAACTATTTAAATCAGAAAAAAATGATAGACCGATGTTTAATTTCTCTAGTTTCAAAATCAAGAGAGACCTAAACAGTAATTGTACCTAAAAAAATGGGAGGCTAGGATCTAATTAACCTAGTTTCAAAATTAAGAGGGCCTAAAAACAATTGAATGAAACTATGACTGCCTAAAAGATAATTAAACCAAAGCTTTTTTGGGGCCATTGCCCCTCCAACTTTATACATACCTCCATTCTATGCAGGCAGGGGTTCTTAGCATAATTGTTTTTTTACTCTCTTAAAAAATTAATTATTCAATTTAATCCATTTCGTCTTTTAATTTTTCATTTTTGTCCCTTCCAAAATATCCCAGAGTGGTTTTTTCCGTTTTCAACAACCAATCAATGAGAGCCGCGTTTTTTTAATTAATTTGTCTGATTCTCTCTTTCTTCATGAGGAAAGGCCACGCGAGAAAAGCAATGGGAAAAATAACATAAAAGAAAACAAAACACAGTCGGCTTTTTTGTTCCATGTAACCGTGGGTGTTGGGGGGTTTTCTTCTTCTTTATTTTAATAATAAAAATTAGGGTAAATAACATTAGAAGTTATTAAATCATATTTAAGTATAAGTTTTGATCATGAATTTTTAAAAATTATAAAATGACCATTAAATTTATTGAACTATTACAATAGAGTCATTGTGGCATTATAATAATTGTAAAAGTTAAATAAAATTAGACAATAATTTGTAAAAGTTCGATAAAAGTTAACGGCCATTTGTAATTGTTTGATAAATTTAATTATTATTTCATAAGTTTAAAAATTTTAATTACTTAAATGATCATTTAAGTATAGCTTAGTGACCTTTGATGTACTTTTCCCTAGTAATAGTATGGGTAAACAACACTAACAGACACTAAACTTTTAGGAATTTTCACTTTAGTCACCAAAATAAAAAAAAGGTTCATTAGAGTCACTATCGTTAAGTACAACTTTTATTTCAACCATTTTTTTGAATAGTTTGGGGTGATTATAAGATAATATATATTCATAATATTTTTTAATCATTGACAACACACACCCTATAGACATAGCTACTCAAACTCGTAACCTCAAAGAAGAAGAACGGTCCCTTTAACCATTAAGATCACTCGATGAGTTCATTATTTCAGCCATTTGATCGTTAAATCATTAACAAAATCTGACGTAGCATGTTAAGAAAACCCTAAAAAACACTGACAGTTATCATACATCCTTTCATTGTCATTTCTATTATTGTTAGATGATTTCTCTAGTCGAAAAGATCATCAAAGTCCTCATCTTCTTCTCTCTCTTTCTTTCGTTTTAAACTAATCGGAGAACCTTCCAATATCCTCGAAATTCATTCAAAATTAAAAGGTAAAACTTTTTGACACGTCATTGTAAATTTTGGAATCAATTTGAACTTAAACTATACTAATCTTTTGGTAAAACAAAATATTCTCATCGGTAAGATTAAATTAGGACAACTTCATTTATCGAAAACTTGGCATTTCTATAGGCTGTCAATTTGGAACCTTATAATTTTTTTATGAAACAAAGGCTTTAATGTGTCATGTTAACTTTTCTTAGTTATTATAATGAAAGTGAATTAAAAGTTGAGTGATTGTAATGTAATTTTTAAAACTTTGGTGACCAAAGTGAAAGTATCCTAAAAGATAAGTGATCATTAATGTAATTTATCCCATAATAATAATAATAATAAGAATAATAATAATTGCTTCTTTTTGAAGGCTTGGACGACCGTCCTTTGACAATTTCTAGGGTCAAAATTGAAAGCAGGATTCAATAGTAAAACATCCTTTTAATTTCAAGTAAAATGAACAAAATAACCAAAATTATGTAATTTAGCGTTGGGTCATTTCCGATTAATCTTAGTAACCTACTTCCTCAATCGTTGGAAGGTTTTTTCTTATACAACTTTTGGGTTTTAATTGATTGCGAGATCGATGGTGACAAATTGATGGGATTTTGGGAACAACGATCCAAGTACTGTAACAGCTACAAGCACGCATTCAATACCTGCTCTATGTTCTTGGAATTATTTCATACATATAAAATAGATTTATCAAATTATTATAGTTATAAAATAATAAAAATGTTAATAAATTTACATACCATGTTATAATAGTTTGATGGTTTATAATAGTAATTTAATAAATTTATCGATCATATTATAACTTTAAAAATTAAAATAAAGAATCATTTTAATTTATTTAATTACTATTTGTATATTTTAGCCATTAAAAATAAGGTTATTTGTTTCCCTATCTCTCAAAAGTTGTCATTTTTTATTTGTTTTGAATATTTTTTTATTAATTATTAATCTAATGAGATGAACGTTAGATACGTTAAAATCAGTGTTAGAATAGGGACGTTCTCCTCTCATATAAGCATATATCTATCACGGTTATATATAATTAAATATTTTAGTTTTAATGTTGTTAATTAATTTTTGTTCGAAAAGATTGCATATATAATAACTCTATCTGGTACTCAAATCCTACTCGTAACATATAAACTCTAAAATATTAAATTTAAATTATAATCTCTAAAATTTAAAGTCATAAATTTTAAATAAAATATGTATGAAAAATATACACTTATAATAAATAATTGTCAACATATTTTTAGAAAAATTAAATAATATAAGAATAAAAAAAAGTTTTTTTAATTAATTAATTCAGTCATTTGTATTTAAAATATTCAGTAGATTTTAAAATAAATAAATTTTAATATTTTTAGTTACTTTTTTGGTTAAAAGATAGAGTGTTGCAAGTAAAAGAACACAAAAAATATTGGGGAAAATAAAAAACAGCTTCTGTCTATATAAATTTCATTCTATTAAAAATATATTTTTAATTTACATTTCGAAGTTAAATAAACCAAGAGACGTACAATACAGATTTTATAAAATGGCGGCGAATTCAAGGTTGCCCGCCACGTTCATTGTAGCTGTTAAAAAGTTATATTTTTACCATAAAAAATTAAAACCCACAAGTTTATTTTACTTTTAAAAATTTATACCGTCAACTTGAAACTTTTCTAGGTAAAAAAATTACTCTTGATCAGTAAACTAGTGAGGCTCTAACAAAGCCAGCAAGAACTGAGGTGGTCTACACTAGCAAGATTGCCAAAATACCCTCATTCAGTGGCATGCTAAAGTAAGATTAATGGGTAATTAAGGTGACAGACGGGGGTAACAAACCGTAATTAACGCGGGGGGCGAGGCTTTTAAATGGTCAAAATAAGTAGAGGAGACGTGTTTGTTTTTTCTTTGCCTAATCAAAAATGATTTAACAGAGCCGGGTATCTTGGGGGCCTCACGTGACCGGCATCACGCTGTTGGAGAGTGAGTCACACGCTGAGTCAGCACCGTTCCCTGGTATCCTATTGGTTAAATTACGCCTCCTGGGACCTATTGCTCCACTTGTCGGCATCGAACACCGTTAACTTATACCTACCGTCTTAATTGCCATGATAATAGAGAATGTATAAGGTATTACAGTCTTACTATATAATTAAGGAGATACGCTGTAGAAAAGTTAATATTTTTTTAAATATTTTTGGTAAAACGTCACCTAAAATATTATTTTTTATCAGAAATGTTAATATTAGACGATACCTAAAATGTTTAATATTTACAGTAAAACGCTATCTAAAATATTATTTTTTATAGCAGAAATGTTAATATTGAGCGCTACCTAAAATGTTATTTTTTATACCAGAAATTAGGTAGTGAAATTAACAACAACAACAACAAAACCTTATTCCCATATGCAATGGGATAAAGGGGAGGTAGGGTAGTAGGCTGCCCCAACACCAGGATTGAGAATAACTTCCGTGGAAGATCTCCGGCAGTCAGAAAATTAAAAATAAAGATAAAATGCAAAATGCATGTATAAATAAATAAATACATAGTTGAACAGTCTTCATATGCAGTCTTCATATGCGTGTCTGTAATGGGAAGTAATCCCTGCAAATAAATCTCTGCGTAAAAATCTCTGCATTACGACAGAAACGTAAGACCCGGGTAAATTTAAAAAGAGGAAACCTGAAGAGAAGGATACGCATAAGTCAATGATATCAAGCTACGAGAATGAATAAAGTCAAATGGGTTAAAACTTAAACTAAGGCAACACTACTCTGCTACCTTAGTTCTAAGCCTTCATAAATTATAATGACATAAACGTATATAAAGTAGAAGTCATGGAAATTATTACAAAGGCATTAAAAGGAAGACAGAGATGTTATACCCTATGTCTGTGACTCGCACTACTCGGCTACCCTGGTCTTAAGTCTCCATACTTTCCTATCAGAGGTCATGTCCTCGGTATCAGATCTCAAGCAGTCTTCCCACTTTCGTCTTGGTCGTCCTCTCCATCTGGAACCGTCGACTGTAATCGACTCTACCCTCCTGACCGCATCCGACGGTTGTCGCCTAAGGACATGCCCAAATCACCGTAGTTTTCTCTCCCTCAATTTTTCGGATACATACACCACTCCAAGAACATCCTAATAGCAGAGTTTGGTATCATTTCCCACAGAATCATACCATATGCCCATCGAAACATTCTCATTTATGCGGCCTCCATCCTCCTTACGTGATCATTCTTTATTGCCAAACATTCTGATCCATACAGTAGCGCTGTTCTTATTGTCATTCTATAAAATTTTCCCTTAAGTTTTAGGGACACCTTCTTGTCACACAAAACTCTAATAGCAGCCCTCCACTTTAGTCATCCCATCTTTATACGGTGTGTAACATCATCATATACACCCCCATTTTTATGTATCATAGACCCTAGGTAGTTCTTTATCGAAAATATTAAAAAAATTTATATTTTCGGTAGGACCTTTTCTTAGCCGTATATTAAGACTGACGTACATTAGAACTACCCATGATAATACGAACACGCACATACTTGAAATGTTTGAGGTCAATAATCCTTATCCTTTTCATTTGATATATAATTCAATCATTTTGAAGGAAAATAATTTCAACATTTTAAAGGAAAAATATTAACTTTTTTAACTTTTAACAATATAGATTAATTAATTGGATTATAAAAGTCGAATGACCAAATTATATAAAAGTAATCAAAAATTAATCCTCAAATTTTAGCGCAATAGAGGGATCCGAATTAAAATTTGACCATTATGTAAAAAGTACATTGTATCAGTATAATATTATATTGAGGATATTTTTTTCTTCCTATTTTGGCTGTTTGGGATCCTATTAAACAGCAAAATCAGTGGTTATGGGACTCCACCGCGACCAAAACTCTCCAGCTTTCGCATACATTTTCACAACGTTATACTACACACTTGTGCTACATCTCCTTTGAAATACCAAATCTTCAAAGAACAGTGACAAGTATAGAAATTTCGTGATACTGAGTTGGCACGGTGCTTGAATTTTTCTTGACAAGGCAAACAGTAGATAACTTTCCTTTTGTGTTTCTTCAGTCCTTCCTTTTTAAAGCCGTTGCTTTTCTCTCCTTTTCTCAGCCTCCCATGGCAGGTTCGCTTTGTTGAAAGCTCTTTCTCTCTCTCTGTTTTTCCAGGGACTGAGTTTGTGTTTTTGAATACCCTTTTGTCAGATTTCTAGGGTTCGTCTTTTTGTTCATCGCTTTGAGTTTCACTTTCACGGTTCCTTTGCCTTTTCTTTTTGCCTGCTTTATACTGAGTCGATGCCAACAGGTAGAATCTGAGAGAGAAAAAATACAAGCAGAAATGGAGGAAAGCATCCTATGTCCGATCAAATACACAGAACACAAAAATATTACTCGGAAGTTCAAAAAACAGGCCTTGAAACCGAAGAAAGCACCTTCCGATCACTACCGTACTGAACCCGTTGACGTCGTTGAAGTTCCGAGGATTGTTCGAGTATCCGTTACAGACCATGACGCGACAGACTCTTCCAGCGACGAGGAAGCTGACTTCTTTGGTCGTCAGAGAGTGAAACGTTACGTCAATGAGATTAACGTCGAAGTCGCCGCCGTTTCAAGCGCGGTTTGCAAAGGCAACCGGAAAAGGACTGCGGTGGCAGCTGGGGTCACTACGGGATGTGGTAGACCGATTAAGGATTCTTCAGTCAACGGGAATGGAAGGAAGTTTAGAGGAGTACGACAAAGACCGTGGGGTAAATGGGCGGCGGAGATTCGGGATCCTGCTCGACGTGTACGGCTGTGGTTGGGCACTTACAATACTGCTGAAGAAGCAGCCATGGTTTATGATAATGCAGCGATCAAGCTCCGAGGACCCGACGCTTTGACCAACTTCGTAACTCCACCGGCTAAGGAGGAAGACAACGGAAAACCCGAAAACATCAACGTCAGTTCGGTTTCCGAGTACGAATCCGGAGACGAGTCAACTCACAATCTTTCTTCCCCAACTTCGGTCCTCAACTTCCGAACTCTATCAAGTGACGAAACTCCGGTAGAACCGAAGAAACAAGCTTCCGAATCTCAAGAAGAGGAGAGTAAACAGCTGCCGCTTAAGGAGGAGCAGCAGCAACAACTGGCTCTGAACGAATGTCAAGGCGAAACTGAAACCAACTTTTCCGATATTTCGGTGTTCGATTTGCCGCTCGATTTTCCTTCAGTCGACGAGCTTTTCGACATGTCAGTGTCGGGATTGTCGGCTTTCGATGATGCTGCGATGGTTTTACCAGACAGTACCGTTTTAAGTGATGATTTTGGCTGCTCGTCGTCATCGACTATTTGTCAAGTTGATGATTATTTTGCAGACATCGATGATCTGTTCTTTTCTGATCCTTTAGTTGCATTATGAAAGTGAGTTTATGTCATCGCCGTTTTGCTTGTCGATTTTCCGGCAGATTTTGGATCGGCGACGACATATATATGTTCTAGCATAGTCTTTTTGGTTTAACATTGTTAATGTTAATTTTTTCTCCGTTAAAACAAACGGAGAGTTGAGTGGAGTTTTGCTGAGATTTTTTTTAAGTTCAATAATTGTTGTTACCATAGAGTGAACATATAATTTTGAGCTATAAATAAAATATTCTATAATATTCAATTTTAATTTAATGGATGTGATTATGACGTGGCAATGTTGCAGTACATCACGTGTGAGAAATCTGAAACTGCCACGGTGGCATTCTTTTTGCGCCCATACACTCTGCCGTGATTCACGGTTTTGGAATTTGGCCGGTCAAGGGAGTCCGAGTCGGGCCGTTCATTTCTGAAAACCGACAAGGTCTAATTTGTAAGTTGTTGAATTAATTGGCTAATCTGTAAGTTGTTGAACTTGTATCTTCTGCCTTAAAAACGACAATAATATACCACGCAAAATTTAACACCAATATTTATTACCTTTCCGAGTTAAATTTTCTTTAAAATCATATAATTTAAATTATTAATATTTAAATAAAACATATACGTATCGTATTTAATATGACCGAAATTTTAAATTTTACAATTTTTAAAACCTTAATATTTATAAATAATTTAAAATTTTATTGACGTCACAAATAATATTTAACCATGTTCATACATATACTTGCACATATATGGAAAATTAGACATACTATGTATTGATAACGTATTTATAAATAGGTGAGTGATTGATGTGCATGTATCAAAAATTATATTATTTAGGAATAAAAAATATAATTAAACAATGATGTTGAGAATTCAGATTTTCAAAAGGAGAAAAAATATTTAATGTATTTCCCACTATTATATATATTTTAGGTGTATATGTAATATTAAAAAAAGTGTAAAATTATTTATTAAGATAGCTTAAAACTCATGTTGGATAATAAAAATATAAAAATGAATGTCCCTTGTTCCTATATGTAATGGGGTAAAGGGGAGGTAAAATAGTAGGCTGCCCCCAACACCAGGTTGAGAGCAACTTCCGTAGAAGATCTCCAAATAATGAAATGCCCTCCGTGAGACTCGATCCCACGACCTCAAAGTTAAAAACCTTATGCTCTACCAATTGAGCTGGATAATCATCTCGATAATAAAAAAAATATTATTAATATATAACTGATTCACTGTTATATATAAGTAGAATTAATTAGTAAAAGGTTGCTTGAGATGTGGGAAAATTCTAGACGAGAATGTAGAAAGTATAGTTATCCAACGCAATATGGACGCTTGAAACATGAACCTCGGACGTATGACTATACATCAACACGTATTCAGTATATCAATAAACGTTGGACGTAATATTAAGATACGTCATGTTTTTAAAGGAAGATTCGAGTTTAAATTTTTAAAACACGTTATTAAATAAAGATAATCACAAATTTTAATGATAGATGATCAAATCATAAGTAATAAGTAATATTTTATATTAGGAATGTGAAATTTTAAGAATTTATATTATAAATTTAAAGGATAAAATTATAAAAAAAAAAAGTAGAGGTCTGAAATTATAAAAATTTAAAAACTATAAAATTAGGTTATCAATAAAAATATTTAAATTACATAAAATTTTAAAATTTTCAGAAAATATGCCTTGATTTATCCCTTTATTCTATATGTTAGTAAAACATATCTAGATTACACCAAAAACATACTAACCCTATAAAATTTACCCATGTCTCAAATAACTTTACAAAATATTTGAAACTTTTGATAAATATAAATAATTAATAATAGTTTCACAATTTACAAGACATAGCATGAGGGTTGAGGCAGGAGTAAGTCAGAAATAAGATGAAATAATTGGAAAGTGGTGGCTAACAATCTTGCTTCACTATTACTCAAAGAGTATTGCATGAAGTTATAATAATTACGTCTTTATATATATATATATATATATAATAAAATTAGATAATTATAATATGCGATAGTTTAATTTAAAATAGTTTTTAACTTAAAATGGTATTCTATTCAACCTAAAATTATACAAATTTATAATATTTTTTGTTGCAGTTGAAAAGTTACATTACAAGAAATCTAAGGTTTACAACCGAAAATGATATTCTATCAAACCTAAAAATTATATTCTTGATATAATTTTTTATTATAACCGATTTTTATCGTTTTTTAACTTTATATTGACGAGTTGTATATAAATTTTTTATAAAATTTTAATTATATAATGTTTTTTCAAGTGATAATAGAGGAGTAGTAGACCGACCGTGGATATTTTTGCAACACCAAGTACGGCTACCACGCGCTTTTCACGTAGACCACAACCTAAACTTCCCAACAATTACGTCGTACAAATGTTGTTTCAGCTGCTTCTGCATGAATGGAATAGTACCGGTATTTAGGGTCATTTGATCTAGTAGAGTGGAGTTACGAAATTTGATTTATTTGAGTTGATGAGTTATATTTTGTGACTCGAAGTTAATTTAATTTTTTTCAAGTCAAGTTGAATTATTCGAGTTTCTATACAAATTTTATCATAATTATTTATAGCATTATAGTAATGATTGATTTTAATTTTTCAATTTTTTCTGATCGTATAAGATATATACATTTCTTCATATTTTTTACACAATATAATGTAGTATAATATATCAAATACAATCTAAAATTATAATATTATTTAGAATATTATATTTTAAAAGAATGTTTGAGGGAAAAATATTATAAACATATATTTATAATATTATCAAAACACGTAAAATTCAAATTAAACTCATCACCATTGTCACAAATATCTCGATAAGTATGACTAAAAAATTATCTCAATTAGTATAACGTTAAAAGTTCTTTTTATTATTTATAGACCCGTGCACGCTATGCATTTTGGATATTATACTTTAATACAGGTAAAATTGTAGCTCTGTGTCTAGTCAGGGGCGTGGGGGACGCAAGGTGCGCGATCGTGCAGGTCCTAGAAAATAAGGGTCCGAAATTGAATATATTTATCAGTTGTTGTCATTAATAAGCATAAAAATATCAAGTATATCTATCAATTGTTATCATTAAGAAGCATAAAAATAGGGTTTCTGAAATCGAGTATATCTATTAGTTGTTGCCATTAAAAAGTATAAAAATAAGAGTTCCGGAATTGAATATATCTAAAAAATTGAGATCCTTTATAAGAATTTATACAGTATCCGACAACCTAACCACAACCTGTGTCTAGTTGAACTCACTTTAGAGTGAGATTTGATTTTTTTTTAACCAAACCGCAATCAAAATCCAGACCGACTCACAGACAACCCTAGTCCGTAGCCTTTTCTTTTTCCTTGACTTCTTTGCATTTCTCTAACTAAAATTAGGGTTTTAACTTGCCTTGGATTCTAAGACTTCGGCACTGCAGAAGATTTAGGGAACCTAATGGAGAACCATGTAGCTCTACACTCGAAACAAGTGGGAAAATGCCGACAGTTGTTTTTCTTGCCTTATCACTTTTCTTCTTTTCATATGTTGATTTTTTTTCAAATATAAAATACTGTTTTTAGCTGCAATAGGATAACTCCGAAAAATATAAACATAAGATTCTATGTTAGATAATAAATTTTTTAAAATTTAATAGAAAATAAATTTATAAAAATTATAAAAGAAGTGAAAAGAATTATAAAAAAAATACAAAAAAGAATCTAAAATATTTGACAAAAGTGACACTCTTTAGATTTAATGGATTTTGCCTTTTATTAGAATAAAGTTTCCTTTTTTTAGCAAGTTCGTTAGTACAGATACTGATATTTTACTGCCGCTAATCGCCTTGCATTGGATGCCGTTTCGGCACTTTCATTTCCTCTTTTGGAGGTGCCATCATAAACAAATCTATTTTTTCTGTTTGCCAACTTTTTTTAGTCTTTTTCTAATAAAAAAATAATTCAAAATATTTATTATTTTTTAAAATATAATATTAAGCAAATGATAGTAAGTCTAGAGGAAATAATCAAATAAACACAAGTATTTTATTCAGTATTTATTATTTTTCTTTTATTTTATTATAATATATCTTTATTTTTTTGTTCTTTATTCTTTTTAATTATGTCTTTTTTTTTTGCATATATTCTTCTGTCTTTATGAAAAGTTTCGATTATTTGACAGTTATTTCCGTTTATTTTTTTGGGGTTGAATCTGATATCGTCACGACTGATCAATATGTCACTTATTTGTTATCATGATGATCTTTCTTGTTTTGGACCATCGGATTGAATTTGGATATGCAATTTACATTCGTTCATAGTATTTTCACATCGTTCGATTCTGATTTACAGTATGTCGGTAGTCTCTCAATAGCTTTATTTCATTTTGTGGTTCGTTTGTCGATGCAATCGATGTAATCGTATCTATTCGTATTTATCTATTGTTCGAGTTTATTTTGTTAGTTTTTTTAACTTTTTTTCTTATACGGTCATTTTGTGATCTAAAGTGACTTTTTTGTGTGTGTTTAGGAATATATTCTTATTGTGTGTTTAGTTTACAATTGTCGTTATAAACCTTTATTGTAACTTGAATATTTTATATTTTTAATAAAATTAACTGTTTATATATAAAAAAATCTAGAAAAAAACTATAATAGTATCTTTTAAAAGGTTTCTTTATTTACGTAACAGACCCAAAATAACATCAGCGTTTGAAGAAACAATTTATGTGATTATCTGATGTCATGTAAATAAAGGTTTCTATATTGAAAAAAAAAATATTATTAGGAAAAGTAAAAAATTTCAAAATTTATTTTAATAAAAAATATAAAATATTTTAATAATTTAGTCCTAGTGGGTGCTTCACCCACATGGAGTTCAGTAACTCCACATTACAGAGACATTGGGGATTGAAATTTTAATTACCCGTTTGGGTGAGAGTAAGTGAAATTAATGATGCATGGATCGTGGAGGCGATCTCTCGTGCCTTTTCTAGCAGACTGTCGATTCAAATGTTTTAAAGGTCAAGCATAAGTACAGTTTAATAAATCATCACAAAATGATTGCCAAAACGCTGTGATTTCTTTCTATACAGACACAAATTTTTATACATAATTATTGATATTTGTAATTAATTAACTTAAATCAAATATTATAAAATTATGCTTATAATATGATAAATTAATACAAAATTTTTGCATATTTAAGGAAGAGAAAAAATCAGTCCAATTATGTTATAAAATATCAAGATGTTTATTGCAAATCACCACGTGTTTTTTAAAAACAAGCTATATATATCAAATTATTTAACATTGTTGATAAATGATAAGGTTTATCCTAAGATTGAAAATATACAATTTCAAAAAAGATTAAATTATATTAGAGGGACCAAATCAATAAAAATGCGTAGTATGGGGATCCTTCCATAGAATTGGACCATTTTTAGACCTTGTTCATGTCACGGTTATATAAATAATGACCCCTCACGTGAGATGCTAGTATAGTTTCTCAACTGATATTTTTCGACAACCAAGTTGGTCTAATAATAGCATTTTAACACGAGATTAACTACTTTTGGAGATTTAAACACTTTTAAATCATGAATTTATATTTAATACATTACTTAAATTTCATATTTTATCAACGAATCAAGATGATATTTTATAATATTTTTTAAAAAATAAATTTATTTAACTTATTTTTAATAGTGTCTCATAATTGTGTTGAGCAACTGTACATAAAAGTATAATGCATTAAATAAAAGAGAATGTTCTAGAACCATGCATTAATTTTATTTAAATTAATCTATTTTTCATGAAAAAAATAATATTATTGGTTTAGCTTATATTTATATAATATATTTGGATGGATTAAACTAAAATTATATAATTTTTTGAGGAGTTAAAATAAGATTCTGACATTACCTTACCTTTATGACTTTTAATTTTGAATTTTGAAAGGGTCAGGGTTGAAATTTCACTCTCTAGGATTAAACATCAACCACGTGTAGATTGTAGAGTGAATAACAGCCGTCCAATGTAATCTCATTGGTCCACAAAATCAATTTTATGGTTCACTTTGGGACATTTGATTTTCTAAGGTGGGTCCTGATCCTACAAGAAAATGTGAAAAATAATAGGGGGCCCAATACACAATCAGGTGGTGAACACGTGAAATTCGTATGGGGAGACCTGTACCCGATTGCAGTCCCAGTCAACTCGAGCATTTGTTTTTCTCCTCCTTATTTATGCCCACGTGGACATCATGCTCAAGCGTCAACTGGACTCACAATGGGACACGTGGATTGGACATATTCATTTGAGAGTAATATATTACCTGCCGCAGAGCTCATGGCGAGACATATGCATTTGCAGGCCGGTCGGTTGTAGCAGCAGAACAATCGAAGGTTGAAAGTTGTGAAGTGTAACAGGTCACTACCTACCGACAATGAGGTGGTTTTTTTCATGGGATTGGGAAGCAAATTTATTTGACAAATTTTATTACTTTATCTTACAGTTGGATGGAAATTTGTCTGAAATAAGTCATGGATATTCAAATAATAATAATAATAATAATAATAGATATAAATTCCATCGAAATTTTCTTACTTGATCAAACAATTTAGTATTAAACTATTGGAATTATATTAAATGATCTTTTAAACTAATTATAACTCTATGATTTATGGTCAATTTTTTATAGTATCAACTATTGCTTTAATTAAATTGAAATCATTAATAGATTTATGATTCGATTTTTTAGAATAATCTAAGGTGGTTAGAATGTGATATCTAAAACCACTAGAGAATAACATTTTCTTTAATTATTGAGATCAATTTAAAATTTAAAAAGATGATATAATAATATTTTTATTTTTTAAATTTAAGTATACATGTTATAATATTATGCCAAATATACATATTTTTACCCTGTAAAAATTAATTTTTAGATATAGTTAAAACGAAAATAAAAGAAAAATATTGAAGCTTGGGCCATGAATTAGTGAAGTCCGGCAGATTGATCCTGGTATGCTGAGAAGAATGCGATGCCTGTCAAGTGGTTGAGCTGACATTTACTCTATCACACATGGAAGAGTTCAAGAATGACGCAAAACAAGCTCTGACAAGTGACAATTTACATGGCAAGCAGGTGGTGGGGGAGTGACTCCAGAAGTTTGGTAGATAACGTTAACTATGTATTGACGTATAACATATTTTAATTTAAAATTGTATAATATATTGTAAAAATTATTAGAGCAAAGATAATTTTTGAGTCAATGATCATAGGTATAAAGTGAAATTTAACACTTAATATACTATAGATTATTAAATTTAGTCCGTAAATTTCAGTAATTAAATCTTTCATCTTTTAATTTTGTTTAAATTAATTTATGTTTAAAGCTGAGGTTAATTTCTTAATTTTTATGAAATAAAAGATTAAGATTCATAGTTGGATCACATTAATATAATTAACTGACCCTATTCCCATACGTAATAGAGAAAATTTAGCTGACCCTATTCCCATATATAATGGAGTAAGGGGGAGGTAGGGTAGTAAGCTGCCCTTAATGCTAGGTTGAGAGCAACTTCTGTGAAAGACCTCCGACAATTATGAATTGCCTACCGTGAGGGTGGTGTCTGTTTCCGAAAAATTGAGGGAGGGAAGACTACGGTGGTTTGGGCACGTCCTTAGGCGACTACCGTCGAATGCGGTCAGGAGGGTAGAGTCGATTACAGTCCACGGTGCCAGAAGGAAAGGACGACCAAGGCGGAAGTGGGATGACTGCTTGAGATCTGATTTGGTGGATTTAGGCCTTACCGAAGACATGACCTATGATAGGAAATTATGGAGGCTTAAGACTAGGGTAGTCGAGTAGTGTGGGTCACATCTATAGGGTGTATCATCTTTGTCTTCTTTTAAATGCATTTGTAGTAATTTCCATGACTTCTACTTTTTTATACTTTTGTTATTGGTATTTATGAAAGATTAGAACTGGGCTTGCTATCGTTGTCTTCTGTGTATCATTCTCGTCATGTTTCCTCTGTTAAAATTAGCCGGGTCTTATGTTTTCTGTCTATATGCAGAGATTCTTTCGCAGGGATTATTTTGCAGGGATTACTCCCCATTACAGAAGCACATATGATATTAATGACTGCATATGAATACTGTTTAGCTATGTATTTATGTAATTATTTATACATGCATTGCATTTTATCTATATTTTTAATTTTCTGACTGCCGGAGGTCTTTCAAGGAAGCTATTCTCAACCTGGCGTTGGGGGCAGCCTACTACCCTACCTCCCCCTTACCCCATACATATGGGAATTGGGTTTTGTTGTTGTTGTTATTGCTCTACCAACTGAGCTGGACGGGCAAATTATAGTTAGATCACATTGTTTGACATAATAGAATAGTTACTTTAATACCATTCTTTCTTTTCCGTATTTTAATTCACAAATTTTTTAATTTTAATAAAATCGAATTTTGTAATGAAATTTGTTAACTAACAATTAATTCTTTGAAATGTTGTGTTACAATGAATTTTTGTCAAAGGATATATTTAAGAAAATCCACATAGCCTTATATTTATAAATATAAAATATTAAAAATATTTCAAAAGGAGCTAGAGGAAGAGCAATAGCCCCAACCGGCTGCCACACGTAGGGGTATTCATTTGGTTAAAACGGTGGTCAATCGAATCGATTTACCCTTAATCGAATTAACATAATTTTTTTTCTTTAACCATTAACCAAATATTTTTTTTAAAGTATTAATCGAACCGAATAAATTTCAATTAATTCGGTTAATTTTTTAATTAACCGATCTTTTTAAGAATTTTACAATTTAATATTTTTAAATTAAAAAATAGTTTACAATTAATTTAAATAATATCTAATTATAAATAATATCTAATTAATTTAATTCAAACATTATATTAAAATAAGATATTTGTATATATCAATTTAGTTAAAAAAAACAACAAATTTGAAAAATTTGAAATTCTACAAAATAAATGGGTTTTAAAGATTAATTCGGTTAATTAACAGATTTCGAATTGAATTAACCATTAACCACCGTTACCCGACCGAACTAATTCGGTGGTCGACCAAATTAATCGAACTAATTCGGTTCGGTCGATTAATTCGGTTAAAACCGAATTTTGAACCCCCTAGCCATAATGCAACGCCATGGCGTGGTGTAAGCAAAAGAACATATCTCTAAACTGAGAGCATCTGCTTCAGCTTCACACTATCATTTTTAACAAGCACTCTTCCTCAACAACCAAATACCAGCAAGAACAATCAGGCATTTTTCACAACACCCTCTAACTACAGAACAATACATTAGAAGATTAAAAAAGGATTGTTCTTTGCTAACATGCTCGGCGAAAATCTTGAAACTCCTGTTGGGAGAAACTTAGAGACAGCAGAGCTTCTTTGAATTTGAAAAACGTCATGGCCTCCTATCCTTGAATAAACTTTTAAGCCCTTTTCTTTTAATGTCTTCACCTTAACCCCGGGCTAAATACACATCCAAGTGGCTCGAATCATCATAGAATGAAGGCCCTTCGAGTTGAGAATTCTTTCTCGGGTTTCTCTGGTTGTTGATGTTATCTTCTTGTCTCCCTGAATGTTCTGAAAGAGCAAGCTGTTGGATATGCATCATTGCTATCATGCTGACTGCGAATATAGCTACATTGCTTAGTATCCCACCCATATGGTCAAAATTCAGGGATTTCTTTGCATAGTTGAAGCTAGAAACCAGAACTTTGATTAGCTTATTAGAGTACTTCCCTTTGTGTGATACTAGATTCTGTCCAGATGGTCTGTTTGGCGTACGGTAAAGGTTTTCGGGTGAGACATAATGGCTAGCATCGTGTACATCTCCCACAAAAGCTAGAGCTTCATCAATTACTTTGTACTTCTTTCCATGATGCTCGGCCAATCTCAATGCAAGAATTATCCGACTTTGTTCTAATCGTGCAATGGCAGCATCTCTCTCGACCTGCTGCTGGATTTGTACAGTCTGTAAAAAGAAGAAAAGACATACATAACATGAGAGATCCATGTGACATGCTAATTGCTTATATCCGAAAAACTATTGCAAACATAAAATTAAAAGCAAACAGGTAAGATCAGAATCAGAGAAGTTCAGGAAAAATGACACCAACACACCTAAAAAAAATCAATGAATCCGAACCCGGCATTTTTCAGTCTGGATGGTGAAGCAACGAATTAGGATTCAACCCATTCATGGGTGCAAACTTGTGCAGTTCCTGGCACTAAATCTCATATCAACAACTCCTTCCGCATTACAAAATGCGGCTCCTAATCCTAATAAATCTATTCATTGTACAGACTACAAAATCCAGAAAACCAAAGAATTTTCACTTCAGATAAAGCTCATTTCCGTAGAAGCAATATGTAACAATTTCCTTTTGGATAAAGATAATTTCCATAGAAGCTATATGTTGCAATTTCATTTCAGATAAAGCTCATAGCATTCTCTCCAGACTCCAAAATCCACAAAACCGAAGCCATTTGATTTCAAATAAAGCTCGTTTCTATACAAGCTACTTTACACATAGAGCCCCCCAAAAACTAACATATCTCCTCATAAAATTTTCTTAAGATATATAAAAATATTGTTGGTTCCCTCGAGAGAACCACCATTTAGCAATAAGTTACTTGAACTTGAGAATGAGAACGAAACATGAGTATGTTCAGTGTTTCTTGTTTATTTCATTTCATATACTAAGAGGGTCATAGCACCATACCCATGTTCAGAAATGCAATGGAGACGGGATCAAACATGCACACGGTTACCTCAAGTATAAATATATATATCGACTTTGAAGCTCGAGTAATTGCCTAGCTGATTGCATTTTCGCTCACAATCACATGCATACCATCTTCTAAAACACAATACGTAGGCTCTCAGTTCCCTATATAACAAGTCTCACTGCTCGCTTTTCAACAGCCCATTCTGTACAGTTAGAATGGTTAATAATAATTCTCAAATAACCCAACACTGAAAACAACCAACAAATGAACTTTTCTTTTTCCAGATTTTCTTTCAATCCCCAGCAACAAAACAGAATTTTAAGTGAAAAATAGCAACACTAGATGCAAAAATTGGAAATTCAAATCCCATAAAAGAATTATAACTCCTTCCATTTCGTTATACCGATTTCATTGATTAATTTAACACAAAGCAAACAAAACCAGTAAAGCAAAAAAAAAAAAATCGAAAAGAAAGGGAGTTAAAACTGACATGAAAAAATTCGAGCTGGTCCTCGAGATTCTCGAGAGCGGTTCTGATAGCATTAAGACTCTTGGCCTCATGAATTGCGGAGTCACCATCGTCAATTCTAAAGTCCTTAACAAACACGAAGCCGGTCCTGTTATCGTCGCCGACGACGACATCGTTGAAGAGCTTCTTCTTGTCGGATTTTCTGAGGGCTTTGATGGAATTGAGGAAGTGAGCTCGCGAAATGGAGTGAATGGCGTCGCTAAGCTTGTCGTGTAAGTCCCAGATTTTCTCGAGAACCGCCTCGATTTCCTCGATCTCCATATCCCATTTCATTTCAGAGGTGAGGGTAACTCCAGAGAATTTCGCCCTTGTTGGGGGAAATGATTTTTTTTTAAGGAATGAAAAATGGAAATTTAATTTATCAAAATTTTCTAGGGTTTATTGACCGCACAGTTTCTGTTATTCTAGACGTTCGCGGATTTGACTTGTTCGGTTGCGATCCCTGCTCCTATCACAGCAATTGATAATTAGGGTTTAATTATGCTCACAGTCTCTGTACTCTTAGCATGTTTAAAGTTTAGTCCCTATACTCTTACCATATTATTATTATTATAATTAAATGCTCTCGGTGAAAATAACGTATCATCTATTTAAAGAATGTCAACCATTTAATAATTAATATTTATACTTATGATATATGCGGTAATTGAACCCATGAGGTAATAATAAATTCTTTAACCACCAAATATGCTTAGTTCTTGCATTATTATTATAATTAAAAACTCAAAAATTATGCGTTTTGAGTTTAGTTTCGTTAATATTATAGTCGGTAATGCTATATTATATAGAAATATATAAACACAATCAAATCAACTTCTAAGGCCTGGGCCATCTTCTTGTAATCTCGAGATAGTATCCCCTGGAGGTTCTCGGTATACTTGAATCCGATAAGTTTCGACTTGATCCTAAAATAATTAGACTCGGGTTGGATTCGAGTCTAAGAGTAAAATCTCCGACTCGATCCAGGATAATGATTTAGTTTTCTTTTATATATTTAGAGATAATTACTATAATACACATCTCTTTATAATTTTCAATTAGGTATCTATTTTATAGAATAAAAATTGTTTTTTAATATCTGTGTGTAGATAGGTTGGATGCAGATTTTTACCCTAACATTCGTCTCGAATTTTCGATCGAATGTAAACTTATGATTTATTTATCCTTTTATTTTTTACATTCTAAATATTATATAAAGACTAAACTGAACTTAATGTAAATTTTGGAGTCCACACTTGGAAGGCCAATGAGTTTAAAGACTAGTAGTATAATTTCATCATATTTATGAACATTTATCGACATGTAGAACCAACTTGTTCGTGAGTGTGGAATAAACATATTTGCAATCATATAAACAAACATTAGACGGATATATTTACGAATGCTAAACGAACCAAACACAAATATTTTAAAAAAATAAATGAATAAACACAAATACAATATTAAAAATTTATATGAATACAGATCGAACACAAATACTCATAAATAAACAAACGAACTCAAATACAATCTTATTCGTTCAAACTTGAGCTATGATAATAAACCAGAGAACACTAAAGTATATAAGTCTGTAAAGAAATTAAGGAAGCAAAGGTTCTTCGCATGAATGCAACAGATGATGAAATGAGCTATGCTAATAATTCAGTTTTTCAAATCCGTTATTACATGATTAATTTCTGCTTCACATATGCTCTTTTCCCCCCAAAAATATCATGCTAACTAGTTCTTTGTGCTGTCAGAAAGCAGTGATATCAAAGGTAACACCAATCATTGAAGAATCCATCAGAGATGTGTTCAAGGAAATGGCTCCAGCTTTACTATATATCTTCCTCACCATTTGAAGATGGAAAGGTTCATCATCGACCCTTAAACTTTAATTCATAAATACACCTACCATTTGACTACCAACTGACGAACACTTCGAAATTCCACTGTGGGAGGAAGTGCCAGTGGCAGCTCTATCAGCACTAAAACAACAGATCCTCGAACAAGTTTTAAACAGTTTTCAACTTCCCGCTCCCATCTGTTACAGTCTCAGACACTGTCGGATTCAGACTTCCTTCCCTTTCAAGACTAGAAGGATTATAAAGATCAGACTCCTTGAGATATTCACTCCTGCTTCTTACATCTATTGATATGCTTCCGTGTGCGCTCCCTTCTCTGGAAGAAGTCCTCTTCTTTGCACAAGTGCGAGAGAAACTAGTCTGAACTGTTCGCAAACTATTTGGCAGAAAATTTATTTATGTTCGTTTATTTATTAAATGAACAATATTAATTAAATAAATGAACATGAGCAAAGGACTGTTTCATTCATTTATGTTCGCAATCATTCGATAATCTGTTTGTATATATTAAACCCAATCTCCAAATCCGTTTAAAATATTAATACCTAAAAAAATTTAACCTTAAACCTATTAATATTTTAAAACTCAATTAATTTTAAACCCAAATAAAAATTCGGATGAACTACACACTTAGAACATAAACTGCCAGTTTTGGTTCGTTTTAGTACCTAAACTTTCAAGTTTTTCAAAATCATAGCTAACATTTAGTTTTTGTTTCATTTTAATACCCGTTAAAAACTTAACGTTAAGTTTTAGAAAAAAAATTATAGTTTAGGTACTAAAGCAAATCAAACCTGATAGTTTAGGAACTAAATATGTTAAGTTTTTAACGACAGTGATATTAAAATGAAACAAAAACTACACATTAGATATAATTTTGAAAATTTTGAAAGTTGATGTATTAAAATAGACAAAAATTGACAGTTTAGGTACTACACACATAGTTTACCCTAAAAATACAAACCCAGTTAATTTTATGTTTGTTCGTTTATGTTTGTTTACACTCGTTTATTTGTTCGTTTATATTTTAATGTACAAATATGAACAAACACGAACAAGTTACATTCCTTAATAAATGAACATGAATAAGTTACATTCCTTAACGAACGAACATGAACTAGAAATTTCATTCGTTTGTTCGGCTAAAGTTAAACGAACAAACATAAACATACCTGTCATAACCATTTTTTAGGTGGAACAATTAAATATTATTTTTAAAACGATTATGACTTTTATTTTGAAAAATTGAGTATTTTGGATTAATTTGGATTAAATTGAATTGAGTCGCCATCGACCTTTGGATTAGGTAGGTCGAATACCTAAAAACGTCTTTTAAAAGAAATTTAAGAAAAATCATTTTTTAAGACAAAAATGGTCTACATTTACCAGAAATCAAATTTAACGGGTTCGGGAGTCGGTTACGTGTGGGGAAGGGTAAGCACCCCCACAGCGCCCAAAAATGGTACTGTGTCGCGTACACATTATCGTAAATGATGGAAATGATAAATCGAATATAAAATTAACCTATGATCCATTTATTGAGATTTATTTAATTTGCCTCAAATTATTTAAAGAAAATCCTTTAACTCAATCAGAAATCTTGAAATTTGCAATCCTCCGTCGGGAAAGCTATTTCAACCATTTCTCATTCGTAAAAGAATATTCTACCATTGATTATGTTAAAAATACAAATCGAATATAACTAAAAACAATGTTTACATACGAATAAATTGATTAACTAAAAACGTGAATTGAATACAAATTAAAAATTTTGAAATTTACATTCACATAAAATAAAGTAAATTGTCACTTAAAATAACACACATTGCATCGTTTGAACAAATTAATTAGCAAAATATACTCAACTTATTTCAAGTTTCTATGTCGTTAAAATGCCGTACCGGATCACACCACTTCGACCAAGTGGTACTTTCCACGCTCATTCTACGCATATGTATTCTTGAAAATAAAATCGAAAATCAAATATTTCATACATAGATACAAATATAATGAGAATAAATGTAATTGTAAATACAAATATTTACATTAAATAGAATTAAACACATTATTTACATAATACAAATAACCGAATAACAAGTACAATAAAATCATACCTAAATGAATAAAATAAAATATTATAGATCTAAACACAAATATAAATAATCACATTTGATTTTAAGGTACCAAAATAAAAATAATAAAAACCTAAAGGAATAAATAACAAATAAACAAATAATCCAGGGCCAAGAACAAAATATTAAACAGTATGCAAATCATACACAAATAAGATTAGGGACCAAGATGAAAATAATAGAAACTTAAAAGGCTAAACATAATTATAAATAAAGAAGAGCCCAGATAGCAAACATTAAATAATACATGAACCAGAAATATAAATAACCCATAAATAATACTTAGGACTAGATTGCATTAAAATATAAACATGAAGGCTGAATAAAAAATTAAACCAAAAGTAAAACAGTGACCAAAATGAAAGATTTACAAATGTTGCTGTCAAATTTGAACATAAAAAAACATAACATATGATCAGTGACTAAAATGTAAGATACATAAATCATATCCAAATTCGAACGTTCACAAAAAGCAATACACAAAAACCCGTGACTAAATTGAAATAATTATAAATATTGGGACCAAAGTCACATATAACCAGAATAGCATAACAAGTAATAGCAGGACTAAAATGTAAGGAAGGAAAAATAAAGGCTCGAAATCAAATAATATATAACTTCATTATATGGCTTAATAATTATATTACAAAGAGCGGGGGACTAAACGTGTAGTTAACCCAAATGATGAAATTACAGATTGGTCCCCATTGAAACTACGTCGTTTTGGTTTGTAGATATAAGCCCAAAACCAGCTTAATTTCTTCTCCATTTCTCATTTTTTTCGTTTTGACAAAAATCAGAGAGAGAGAGAGTGAGAGAGAACTCTCTCAACTCTCTCATCGGAGGGAAAACCAACTGCCACCGCCGGTGGCGCTCACGGCGGCACTCGCGGTGGTCGACGGTGGCCGGAGAGAGCGAAACTTCTCACAACGTTCCTCTCTTAGCTCTCAACCCAAATCTAAAGTCCCCTACCCCAAAATCCAAACAGAAAACCCTAGATTTAGGATTTACCTCACGGAAAACCGAGACTCCAACGACCCTTTGGACTTCCGATGGTTCCTCCGATCAAGGTATGGGTTCCCCTCTCTCTGTTTTTTTCTTTCGTATTTTTGTTTGAATGGGATGGATGGTTTTTTCTCTCGGTTTCTTTCTTTTCTTTCCTCTGTGTATTTTTCTCTTTCTTTTCTTTTTTCTTTTGTTCGAATCTGGTATGTTCTTCTCTGTTTTTTTCGTTTTTTTTTTCTCTCTCTCCCAACCCCAAAAAACTCTCTCTTGTTCTTCTTTTCCTTTTATTTATGCATGTGTGATGGTTGATGGATGATAGCTTTGTTTGCTGCCTGAGGAAATAGGGCTTGAGTGCCCTAGATTTGTAGACCCGATTTTCCTCGGGATCTCTTGTCCTTGTT